CTTAGGATATAACTTGACATTAAGAATATAGTTGACATTCAACACCATTGCTGTTATCTTCATCGACAGACATTTGATGAATATCTAATTAATCAAAGCTGATCTCCTAGGTCGTGAGGCCAAAAAAGACATGATCTCTGTATTCAGGAGGCTTTTATTCCTCTTCATGCTCTTTCTTTTCCAGCCAAACAAAATAACTATTCCCCTATTTTTTCCTCTCCTCTTCCCTTGTGCATTCAGGAAGATCATCTTCCAAGTCTCAACTGGATTTCCTACATCTATACCTATTGAAATCTATCTCTTCTTTTAAATTGTACTTAGGCACTATCTCCTCCCTGAAATTATCTTTCATCCTTTCAGTTCAAAGTGTTTCCTCATTACTAAATTTTCCTAAAATACTTTCTCTGCATCTCTTTTCTGCCTAATTTCCTATTTTGGACCATAATATCATAGGTTCATAGATTTAAAACTGGAGACAATTTAACGAAACACTCCCATTTTATAGATGATGAACTAAGGCCAAGAGACTGTAAATGATTTACTGATGAACAAACAGCTAATAAATATCTGAGTAGGGACTTGAACCCAGGATTTCTTGATTATGAGTTTCACCTTCTGTCCATTTTCTGTATAGCTGTCAGTCTCCTAGTCCCATCCCACTCCTGATTCTCAAATTAGGTTGTTATTTACTTCAGAACATATTTTATGTCTTGTCTACCTTCGTATATAACAAGTGATTAATATATATTTGTTGAATTAAATTTCATGTCTTGGGAATTATTTCTCCAACCAAATTGGGGGGACATCAAGGAGTACAACTGTATCATTCCACAAATCATCTTATTGTACCATTGACAAGGCCCAGGTTATTATTTCAGGCCATTGTTTTGACCCAGGGTGGCATTTGTAATGTGGGATTACAACCCTAATTTTCATGTTACCAAACAAACAGGAGAAAATATATTTTTCACTGTTAAAAAGAATAAAAACTAGTCACTGGGAAACTGAATCATTCAGGTCATGGTGCCACTAAGTTTAAAAAGTGTTTTGTCAGCATCTAGGTCACTGAAACGGTGTGCTTATTTTGGATGCCTTCCACCACTGCTTAGTCTGCCTCAGACCACAGAAAATGTATTTCTGTCAGAGAGACCACCCCACTGACCTCCCTCCCCATTTATAAAAGCTTCAACCAAGTCACATGCAAGTTTCTTTGCAATATATCTTGCCTTCTCCACCTCTGTGAATGATCTGGCCACTAATGATATACATAAAAGATTATCTGCAATCAAAATAGGGAGAGTTTTGAAACTATTCAATCAGCTGTCACCCAGACAAGGGCATGTGTTTGTTTAGGGGTGAAGAGAGAAGATGTCATTGATATCAATCCTCTACCCCCTGCCCAAACACATCAGGAATGAAACAATAAATCTCACAGTATGCTCTGTCTGGCTTAGCATTGATTTGTTGTGGCTAAAAATTTCTCTCTCCAAATATTAAGATAGACAGGAGAATACAGCTTAGGTTTGACACTGTGCCCTGTGGAAGCTCCACTTAGTGAAAAGCTACAATAGAGTCACTTAAAGCACTGCCAAATATTGAACGAGGTTTAGTACTGCTAGTCTCTCCCTACTTCTATTCCTTGGACATGGCTGGGGTCAGCTATACATTAAAATGATAAATAGGCAGAAAAGAACAGTGGAAAGAACACTGGACTTGGAGGCTAACCTTTGTTGTGTGAATATGAATCAGTCACATTACCTCTAAGCCGTGATTTCCTCATCTGCAAAATGAGGATGATTATATTATATAATGCAGGTGAGAAAATATTCTGCAAACTAGATTGTTTTTAGATATAATGATAAGTAATTGTGATGGTATAGCATGGGTCATCAGATGATTCTTGCTGGGATGTCTTATCAAGGATCCTCATAGCACTGTGTTCTATACTAGTGGTCACCACTGTGGGGGCTTGACCTCGAGACATGTGCAAGTTCACAATCTCCCCTTTCTGATATTGTCATCATCATTTCAAGGAAGGCTTAACTTAATTACTACTTGGGCACCTACAGCAGCTACTGGAGAGGAGCCTTTGGGAAAACTCTCTCCCACTAGGATATCTATCCCGTTTCCTAGATAATTTCCTGTCTACAGCAGGCATCTATCAACATCTGTGCTCTGTGCTCTGAGGAAGCTACAAATGTATAAGAGCTTCACCTTCTCTTTTTTTGATTTTGACTAGCACAGGATTAAGTTCATCACATATCTCATTACATTTTCTTACCTTCAAACTTACTTGTCTTACAGAGTTCCCTATTATTGGGAAGTGCAACATCTTCCTTTCAGTCATTCAGATTGAAAACTTCTGTGTCATCTTCACCTCCTCACTTTTACCTAGCCCATATATACAGCCAGTTGCCAAATCTTTTCTATTTCTATCTCCACAACATCTTCCACATGCATGACCTCTCTATTCACACAACTATCTCTGGTCCTTTCTTTTGGACCTTTATTCTTTGTCACACTGTGTCTCTCTTTTTGACTTCTATTGATCATTGCTACTACAATGTTATGTAGCTGTGACCTCCATTGAAGATATTTTCAGGAATACTGGGGAATGTCTATGTTCTCTAAAACACATCCTTTTTTATCAGCTGCTGGATGGTGCTTGGAATCCTTCTTTTAGAAATTCATTATTTTGTCTCAATATATGATTTTTTAATTAAAATCCAGCCCAAAGAAGGGTTACAATTAAGCCACATCAACCAGACAAATTATGTCCTCAGAAGGTATATAGGATATAAAATCTTGAAGCCAGTGAATTCCTGAACAGGATAAGATTTGGGGAATAAAAGACCAGAGAAAATACCACCAAGAATGGAACATTATGCAGAAAAGGAATATTCAGGAACACTTACAACAAACTGACAACTTATCAGGCCAGTCCAGTCTATAACTTTCTCCCACATATATCTCAACTTTCTTTCCTTATAATTTTCTTGTATTGTGAGTTAACATGGAATAGTGGATTGAGACCTAGCCTTGAAAACAGGAAGATCTGAGTTCAAACACTACCTGTGACATATACTAGATGTTAAAACTGGGGCAGTCACATCTGATCAGTTCTCTAGGTAATGCTATATAAGTATAAGTTTCAGAGAAGGCACTGACCTACCATGGTAGAGGGAGTTAATTCTCGATGCTAAAAGTTCTTAAATTTTTTGGTCTCAAGATTACTTTTTATTCCTTTTCATTTATTTATTTATTTATTTTTATGTTCATTTATTTAAGATCCAAATTCCCTCCTTCTTTTCAGGTCCTCCCTCACTCATTGAGAAGAAAAGCAATATAATACCCATTAAGCATGTGAAGTCATTAAAATATATTTCCGTCTTAACCATGCCCTCTCTCCACTCTCCAAGCAAGAAAAATAAAGTGAAAAAAATGTATGTTTCAATCTACTCTCAGAGCTCACCAGTTTTCTCTATAGAAGTGGGTAGGATTTTTCATTATGAGTCCTTTGGAATTGTCGTGGATCATCATATTGATCAGAGTAGTTAAGTCTTTCACAGCTGATTATCATTACAATATTGCTGTTACTAGGTACAATATTCTCCAGGTTCTGCTCATTTCATTTTGCATCAGTTCATATAAGTCTTCCCAGGTTGTTCTGAAACTGTCCTGCTCATCATTTCTTCTAACACAATAGTATTCCATCATCATCATATATCAATCTTGATCAGCCATTCCCCAGTTAAAGAGCATCCTTTCAATTTCCAATTCCTTGCCAAAGCAAAAGGAACTTCTGTAATTATTTTTGTTCATAGATCATTTTTCTTTAAAAAGAAAAAAACAAACAAATCCTTTTTATTCTTAAAAATTATTGAGGACCATGACCAAAGTGTACTTGTCTATATGAGTCGCATATATCAATATTTACTATATTGGAAATTGAAATATCTTAGTATTATTATGAAAATAGCATTGAACTTGAGTTCAACCTGAAGGGACTTAAGGGACCCCCACAGATTTAAGGACCATACTTTGACAACCACTGCCCTTTACCAATGAAATCACAAGTCTAATTTCTATCCCAAATCTTCCACCATGATCTAATCATCTTGTATAACTCACAAATTTTCTCATGTGTGTTAACTTAAGATTTGTCAGACCCAATTTAAGATATTCAGGTGCAGTAAAGAATCATTCTAGTTGTGTCCAAGCATAGGTTTTTACCAAATAACTCCATAAAATTTGTTGATCTGACTTCAGGTTTAGTAATAGGGCAGGGAAGGGAAGTCCCCACAGGCTAGGCAAGTCATGTAGCCTCCATGAAGGATTTGAAAGAAAAAAAAATAGATTACAATTTAAATAGACTGAGAAGACATTCTAAGAAGAAATGGATGAGCAAATACCAGAAGTGGGAGTGAAAATAGAATGTAGTAGGAGCCAAAGAACCTATCTGACTAAACTGGGGACCAGTATTTCTGAGTCAGAAGACCTCTCTCTATGAATTGTGGGGGATAACACTAGCTGTCTCTGGTGGGAAAAGATTATAGAATGCTATTTTTTTTAATCTAACTTCACTTTCTAGAGAGAGTAATAAGAAGCATTCCTATCTCCCTTCAGTATGCAAGTTAGTGGGAGTAATGCTCTAATTTCAAGTTTTTTTGGAGACACACCAGTGACCCAAGATCAGCCTTTCAGCCAGGAGCTATGCTTAAAGCATAAAAATAATTTCTTGAAATGACTGAAATAGGCTAGAAAAGTACAACTGTGGTGCACCTAGTTCCCTACACAATTCCTCTCAGAGTTTCTTTGATCAGTATCTGACTCTTGATTGATAATGAAAAGCCTGTACTTTTTATATAATTTCATCCTAGAAAACACAATTTGATTTCTCCACCCTAATTTCTCTCTCTCTCTCTCTCTCTCTCTCTCTCTCTCTCTCTCTCTCTCTCTCTCTCTCTCTCTCTTCTCTCTCTCTCTCTCTCATCTCTCAGGTGGCACAACATCAAGACAGAAAGGATTCCTAGGATGTATTCGCTCCTTACATTTAAATGGACAGAATCTTGATCTTGAGGAAAAGGCCAAGGTCACACCTGGAGTCAAGCCTGGATGCCCTGGACACTGCAGCAGTTATGGCAATCTTTGTCACAATGGAGGGAAGTGTGTAGAGAAGTATAATGGCTACCTCTGTGACTGTACCAACTCTCCATATGAAGGACCCTTTTGTAAAAAAGGTAGGCTTCATTCTTACAGTTAATGGGAAGTTAGCATGCAACAGTAGAGAACCTGTTGGGCTCAAATCAGGACACAAAAGCCATACTCCCAACTAATTAGCTGTGTGGTTATAGGCAAATCATTTAATCTCTCTGTGTCTCAATTTACTCAGTTGATACATAAGATAAATTAATTGGATAGGCTTAAACTAGGTAGAAGACATTTTATGAGGAACTAGATAATCAAATAGAGAATGTTAGCATGTTTCACATATTTGTTGTTAGGATAAAATGTCATAAGATGAGATGAATAAACATATAAGTAATAAAAATACTATTGTTACTTCGATTTCTCAGTTTTTTAAAAATTTCTGAGTCAACCAGAGCATCTCATTTTATAGCCTGCTATTAATACTTATTTATTAAGCATACAGAATAAGACTTTGAAGACAGAAAATCTAGTCTGCAGAAAACTAGGCTGGGTGTCAGCTACCTCATTCCATTTCTGTTGCTTAATGAGCTGTGTGATTTTTTTTTTTAGCATTAACTAATCTCTATGGCCTTAAATATGAAGTTGGTCATATAGAATCATTGAGTTATTTTGTTTGTTTTTTTGTTTTTGTTTTAGAGCTAGATGGGACATTGGAGAACAATTAGTCCAAATTTAGCATTTTACAGTTAAGGAAACCCAGAGAAGTTGTGATTTACCAAAGCCACACAGTTGAGCCAAGATCAGAAGTCTACCCTGAGGTCTGATGTTCTTTCCATTACCCTAAATAATGATGACGATATTGGGGGGAGGGATTAATATTATTATACAAATCTAAGCTTAGTTATGTCCCATAATTTTAGGATCTCTTGTAACATGTTGCACAAATGCAGGCTTGCAGTTTATCTTTGTATAATCCATAAGATAATTTCATTGATGAAAAATGAGCTTTATGAATAAAGGATAAAACAGAATTCAAGGATATTGATTAAATGATGTAAAGAACACTATTTTAATCACTTTAAAGCAACATGTATATTCAATTATTTCATATGCTAATTAAAAGTCTATTCATCAAAGAAGAACCTCCAAGGTTCTCTACTAATCAATACTTTATTAACCTACCTCTTGTAACTCTTAGAATTTGAAAGCAGTAAAACTGACTTTATATAACAATCCTTAATAATTTACTCCACTGATGAGAGGCAGCCTGAAGAGAGAATAGGCCTATAAGTCAGGAAACCTGAGTTAAAGTCTAGTCTCTGATACATAAAAGCTCTGTGACTCTGGGCAAGTCTCTCACCCTCTCAATAATCTTGCCCAGTGGTGTCAAACTCATATAGAAATGATAGCAACTGAACTATATTTCAGGATCCCAGAGGAATCCACATATTAACTTCTAAAACCGCATATTAACATTGTTTATGTTTTGTTATTTTTATTTATTTTGTTAAAAATTTCCCAATCACATTTTCGTCTAGTTCTGTTTCTCCAGAGATTGCTGCAGACTGCAATGCTGAGGGTTTGAAAACTATTCCAGGCAACTCTCTAAGATTCTGAATTGTAGAAAAAAGTGCAGGTCTGCCATTAATAGAGGGAATTTTCTCATCAGGGAGTTTTCAATTATCAGTGAAATAATTGGTGAAGTCCATATGCTATATTTTAGGCTTTGCATTAATTCAGACTTACTTCTAACTCATTACCCCCTCCCCATATGATTAGACTTTGTGTAGTATAATAATTTCTGGGAAATATGTTATACTCCTTAGGAATATTGCAGATATGTAAAACAAAGTATTGATTATCCACATGGAAATTTTTAAAAAGTCAGTCTTGTCCAACAGACTTATAATCTGAGCCATGACAGTAAAAACATTAATGTCTTTCTACTGGAACTTGCCTGTGAATTACTCTCCCTGAAAAATACAGATTCTGCTCATAGAATTCTGTGATTTCCTAGAAGTTTCATATACTGAAGAAGCACTCTACTGATGGTCCATTTCCCAAGACATATACTAGAGTCATTTCAAATGATATATGCTCAGATCCTTTGTCCAAATAAATAGTACTGGGGACCGTTCTGCATTTCTCTAGCTGTGTTGTTCAGTCATCTCATAGTTCTTATTGTTCTAAATTTAGCTTAATTTTCCTCTGGTTCTTTTCTTCCAGACAACTACTATTAATTTTTTTCTCTCCACAAAATCATATCTTTCACAAGCACATGTTGGTATGTGCTTTCTACTCTCCATTTCTTCCCTTTTGTCTTTTTTTTAAAGTTAAATAAATATATGTGTGCAGAGTAATTTTCATCTTACCTCATCATTCACTCTTCCTGATGGATAATCACACACAAATAGCATCCTGCCATTGAGTAATTGATGCATTCAGGAATTGGACTTTTAAGTAAAGGGACAGAAGAAGAGCTTACCTAGAAGTACATAAGTTTAGAGTCCAAATCTATGCAATTCATAAACCCCCATTACTATATTCATCATAAGTGATCATTCAGCTTCTACTTATAAGCCTCATCAGAAAATCCCCTACTTAATATGACAGCACTTTCTATTTTCAGTGAAATTTAATTATTTCAATTTTCTTCCTTATGTTAAGGCAAAATCTACTTTTATGTGTATATGCCCCAGTTTCACAATGACCTCCTTAAAATGTGGCTCCCAGAATTGAACATAACACTACAGATGTTTTCTGACCTGAAGAGTATAAGAGTATAGTAAGATTCTTAACTCCCTTCTGGTTCTCTGTCTCTCTGTCTCTCTCACTGTATGTATGTACAAACGTGCTTTGCTTTTCTTTGTAATGGATATTGAACAATGCAGGTTTATTTCTAGAATTATGCTGCTATAAAGTAGAGAACTGGGCCGCCTTTGCCACATCATCAGCACTTCTAGAAGCAGGCCTCTTCCTCTCCACCCACCCCTACCTTTTTTTTTTTTGCAATTTAAAAATATTGTATGGTCTTCAATCTTCTAAGGATTCAAACATCTATTCTATGTGAATAGCTGTCCTCTATCCTATATTTATATAGTTATTTGGTTGTATATCTAACCTAAGTATAAACATTTACATTTATCACTATTAGATTAAACATCCTTAGCTCCAGTTCATGATTCTAGCTTATTAAGGTTTAGATAAGGCATAGCTAGGTGGCTCAGTAAATAGAGCTCCAGACTTGGAGTCGGGAGGACCCGAGTTCAAATTCACCTCAGACACTTGATACTTATTAGCTGTGTGACCCTGGTGTATGTCATTTAACACCAATTGCCTCATCAAAAAAAGAAAAAAAAAGATTTAGATGAAATTTTCTTTCATCCAGTATATTAGTAATCCTTCCCAGCTATGTCATTTGAAAATTTGATAAGCTGCCGTATGACTTTAGTCATTCATAAGAACATTAATACAGTGAAATTAAAAACAAAGCTTTGCAACAGAGATCTTCCTCTGTGTTAAAAATCAATTGATTAACCAACATTCTTTGAAAATAGTTCCTCAGTAAGTTGAAAACCATCCAATTCTATTATTTTCTATTTTGACTACAAAGATATTGCTGAAAATCACCAATTATGTTGCTTAAATCTAAATACATTATGTCAGTTTCATTCCTCTGATCCAACTCTGCCCTTCCCCCCAATAATAAGTAAATTAAATAAAAACAAGGTAAAAGGAATTTGAAAAAACAAGCTTGATAGTACAAAGACATGTTGTTGTGAATAGAGTTCTTGAGTTGAACTCAGCAAGACTCAAGTTCAAATACTGAGTCAAATACATCTTAGTCCTTTAATCCTGGGGGGTTTTTGTTTGTTTTTACTTCTCTGAGCCTCAGTTTCATATATAAAATGAACAAATTGGACTCTTAAGTCCCTTCCAACTGTAAATGTAAGATTTTATGATCTCAAGAGATAATCCCTTCCTTTTTCAACTAATCAATCCTTTATTAGAGTATAGTAATTTTTATAGCATACCCTCAAGGCTATATTTTAGGCAATAATTTGGATTCAAAGCAGACAATGAAATGTCTATGCATGCTCTGTTAATTGGCCAGCCTCCCCTCATCCCATGATAATATGACTAAATAGTGCTTCTTAAAGGTCCTGTATTTCCATAAATGTACCATAAAAAATTACAGATAAATTGAAATTAATAAATTATTTGCTTAATATACATGTTTCCATAATCTCAAGATATCTTAGATTCTCTTTTTTTTAATATAATATTTTTTGTAATTGCATGTACAAGCAATTTTTAACATACTTAAAAAAAATTGAGTTCCAAATTCTGTCTCCCTTCTTCTCTCCCCTATCCCTTCATTGAGAAGGCAAGCAAGTTGATAGAGGTTATACATGTGCAATCATTTAAGACATTTCCATAATAGTTGGACAAAAAACAAACAGAAAAACAAGAAAAGTAAAGAAAGTTAAAAAAATTTATACTTGAATCTGCGTTCTCTACATATCCTTCATAATTGTCTTGGATTATTGTGTTGATGAGAATGGATGTTATTCACAGTTGATCATCATTACAGTATTACTATTACTGTGTACAATGTTCTGGTTCTGCCTACTTCACTTTCTATCAATTCATGTAAGCCTTTGCAGTTTTTTGTTTCCTGAAAGCATTCTGCTCATCATTTCTTATAGCATAATCGTATTCCATCACAATCATATACTGCAAGTTGTTTAGCCATTCCCCAGTTGATGGGAATCCCCTCAATTTCCAATTTTTGCCACCACAAAAAGAGCTGCTATACATATTTTCTCTATATATAGGTCCTTTTTTTTTTTAATATCTTGGTATGCAGAACTAGTAGTGGTATTGCTGGGTCAAAGAGTATGCATTGTTTCATAGCCTTTTGTGCATAGTTTCAAATTGTTCTCCGGAATGGTTGAATTAGTTCACAACTCCACTTACAGTGTATTAATGTCCCAATTTTCCCATTTGTCCTCCAGCATTTATGATTTTCCTTTCCTGTCCTATTAGCCAATCTGATAAGTGCAGAATCATACCTCAGAGTCGTTTT